CAGCAAGCTCCCTTTTTTTGCGAGGGGTTTTTGGTTCCGATTCCGATTCTGCCGACGACACTTGATGATGATGATACTCGCTCATACACACACCCGTATTTGGTTTGTTCTGTGTGTTTGTGGTGTGTTATGTTTTTTATTCCGCCTTTTTTTCTGAGCTTTTTTTTGTTGTTTTTGTTCATGCGCACACTGAAAAAGGTTCTAAGTAGCGCCAACAACAACCACTTAGAATGATAAAACAAACACAGAAACAAACAGGAGATACAATAACAACAACTGTAACTCGGAGAGCACACGCACACCACTGCCAAGCAGCAAAAGTGGGTGGTGGGGCGAAGGAGAGGTAACAAGGGGGCGGAGGGTCAGGGCTGTTTGTCTCCCTCGCACTCGCACGACATTGACTTTGAAACACATTTGACAGCCCCAGGCAAAAAAGAAGAAGAACAGAAACAACTCGTGATCACGACTAAAAAGCAGAAGCAGCAACAGCAATGAGATAAACAACAAACAGCCTATAACAATAAACAAAAAAAATAATGGTTAAATCAGAGCTGAAAATTCTTGTTATAAAACATTATATAAAAAGTCTCCATATTTTTACATTTTTCCCACTAACTTCGGTTTTTTTTTATATTACGTATACGTAATCTTAGGCTAAGATGATTTTTTTATTGGCATAGGAAAAAAGATAATTTTTTCCGACTGAAAGACATAACCGACTACCTATTATTATTTATTTACAAATTCTTAATAATTGTAAGAGTTTTTCCACAAAACTGTTTTACATTTTTTTTAATGTTTTTGCAAAACGTATACGTAATATTTGCCTAAAGATTAGTTCATTTTGCATTGGAATCTCATCAAATTCAAACTTTTCTTATAAATATAAAGAAATCAATATTAACCCTTCAAAAATAATGTTTAGCTATAAAAGTAGCTATTTCTCCACTAAATAAAAGCCACCACCAATTGCCCATTCATGTGCTCCCGCCAGGTAATTAGCATTTCTGTCTCTCACCGTCTCCCTCGCACGCACAAGCAACATGACAACCTAATTCACCACGCCAGAGCGAGCGCAAAGGTAAATGAACTGTTTGCCTCTCACTGCTTAACCCCTCCTCCCACTTCCTTCACCCCTTCCTCACCCCTACATACACGTGTGCTGGTTTGCCTGTGTGTGGGTAGAGCATATTTCAATGCCAAGGTGACGGCCTCGCCACATTTTCGCCCTCTCTCTCTCTAACCGCGTCTGTCCACCGTTCGTCTCACTCGCTCTTGCGTCGAATATATCGACCTCCTACACTTTTCTGCTCTACTGTTACCGTTAAAACTTAAACTTAAAACAGTTCAAACATTTTTTACAACACAAAAATCGCCGCCAGAGGAGCGCGAACCGCAACGTATCCACCATTATCGCATTGAATCCCATTCAATCCACTCGGCAAACTCACTCGCCAACTGCCACGCCCCCGGAAAAAGGGGGACGGAGGATAAGAGTACGACTACGAGTACGAGTGAGTGAATAGTGTGAATGCCTTATATTCGTAGCGGTTTTGTGAATTTTGTATTAGGCAAGCAGATTTTCGAGATGGATACACGGATGTGCCGTGTGGGCACGAAAGAGATGAATATATGCCGCAATGTTTGCTCAGTGCCCGTTGGATCCCTGCTCCAATTGCTGGTCGCCTGTTAACTGTTTTAGTTAAAGAGCAATCCATTTTGTTTTGCCCCATGAAAAGGAGTAGCGCCAACGTTCTGTCCCCATCGCAATCGCACATGCCCTATTGCCATCTCAACTCAACACGCAGCAAAGTTGTGGGGGGAATAAATGCGAGAAAGAGTGCGAAAAAAGGCAGCAGATGCAGTGGAGTATTGAGTATCTGGGGGTTATCTATAAACTATTTTCCTCTTTTTTTGCAGTTTTAATTATTTAAATAGCCATTTTAAAGCTTTATTTTCCTTAGAATGATTAAATTTTATTCAGCTACTTAAGCTTAAAGCGCATTTGCACAAAAGCTGAGCAAGAAATTGCAAATTCCAATGGGAAATGCAAAAAACGCAGCTTATTGTTAAAGCTTGGAATTGGAAAAATAGTTTAGAAAAAGAAATTCTTTTGGTTTATAATTTCTTTGTCTTAAAATAATCAAGTCTTCTTTTTTATATGGTTTTTAAAATCATGTATTTATTTGGAAAACCTAAATCCAAAAGAGCTTGATTTCTTTTTAGAGTTAGGGATTCGAGGTTCTGTTTATGTTGGATGAGTTGGAGCTCCGGCTCTCCGGTCTCCCCTTTTCGCATCATTTTGGCTTTTTGATAAAACTTTCAATCCGCAAAGCACGAAAAAAGCATTAACAGCGCTTTCTGCATGTGTGTGTGAGGTGCTTTTGATTTAATAAAGTTTAATCCAAAGATAATAAACATAAGAACAAATAGTTATAAAAATTCCTTAGCCAATAAGGCATTTGAAAGAAAAGATATTTGTGATTTTCTTTATAGATCACACAAAAAACGTTAAAAATTGGCAAACCAATGATCCTAAATGATCGTTCCAGTTCATTCCAGGTTTCCAATTATTTCTCTGACACTTTGAAGTTTTTCAAAATATTTTTTTACTTGATTTTCCAAAGACCTATTATAACTTTGAAATGCAAGGCTTTCGGTTCAAGTTCTTGAACATATTGTGCTTCTTGATTGCCCTAGAACTTTTAAATACTCACTCGGGGGGGGGAAAGTGTGACGTAACTCACTCTTCGAGTGATGATGCAGCTTGCAGAACAAGTTTAGAACTTAAACTTTGCTAGAGGGAGCGCACAGGCACATCAACCCCCGCCGAAAAGGGAGTCAGAGGGAGAAAGGGCTATCGGTACCCCTAAGGTGGCCAACCTGAGAAGAACCCGAGAATGTGTCCAAAGTCTTTCCTTTCCCCTCCGCCCCCAGATAATTTGCTATTTTATTAAAAGCACTCGGAGGTGAACTTGACAGATTTAACTTTTTTCAAGTTTCGTTTCGGAATACCGAAAAGCGGGCCGCTTTTGCCGGCCTCGCAACTTTGGCAAGTTAATTTAGCATGGAAGCTACAGTTTTGAAAGTTCTTTTGCTGGGCGCTGAAAATACCGATGGCTTTAGGAGGGCGATATGATATGTATTTGCTTTGTTTTGAAACAGGTCGTCGATGCTTGAGGGTTTCAAGAGAACGGAGGGGGGTCAACCGATCCGAGCGTAAGCGTTTTATATACTTTTTTTTTTCTTCCGAAAGAGCTTAAGCAGCTTTTTAGTGGGCACATTATACAAAAGAATTTATTTATTGGCCTGCTGCAATGATTGTGTAAACAAATTAAATAAAACCGAGAAACGCGCAAATCGAAAAGTCAACGAAATTTTTAAATTTCTGAATCATCGTTAGGAAAGATAATGAAGTTAATTACCATTATTTTAAACTGATTGTTTTTAATTACATCGTAATTAACTTAAAAGGGCAATTATCTTGAAATATCATCAAAAAATATATGCTCATCCTATGACTTTCTTAAAAAGTTGAACAAGTTGAACAATATACGTTTGTAATTTTAAATTATGCAGTATGCCAAGCTAACAAAAGTGTTTTTGATAATTAAACATGAGAACCTAAGGTGCCAAAGCTCTAATTACACTTAAATTAATAAATACAATTTTTATCTTTCAAAATTAAATTATTTTCACAATTTTAAGTTATAAAGTTAATATTAATCAAAAAAAATTCATTAAATAGATAACGATAAACTACTTTCATTTTTAATTCTTTAATTGCCTCTTTGTAAAAACTTAACAATTTTCCTAATGTTGGTAGAAACAAATCAGTAAGATATTCCGAAAAGTCCTCCGAAAAAGCCCCAAACAGGGAGCCCAGCACCAACCTATTTTTTCCTTTCTCTTTTTTTCTCTCGTCAACAAATTGCACATATAACGAAACGGAAGCAGTTTTTTCAAAGAAATTGCACAACTCATTCGGTGTAGAATTATTGTAATCCCCACCAGGCGCACAGAAACCGTTAGTAGGCGGATATCCCCAAGTGTCTTCGGAGTGCTTTTCGCCGCAAGCGCTTTCCGCCGCGGGTGCGAGCGGGATGGCAGCTGTGCACAGCTTTTGTCGCGCCCCACATTCAGTTGGGGCCGTCTCGCTCGCACCCAGTGTTGCATTGGCGTGCCGGCCATAAATATGAATAGTGCAGAAAAGACGCCAAATCGCTGTCTGTTTCGCCTGAGCGCCTGATGAAAAATTCACAAAAAGCCAAAATAGCGCGGAACATACAATTTTTTCCCGAACGGCGAATCACGACGCAACTCTAAAATCCGGCAGTTGGTATTCAAAATTGGAAATTAATGGAGAGACTTTTAATTGGTAAAAAAGTTATTGATTAAAATTTATTTTTCGCTTTTAATACTTAGTTTAATTTGTGAAATTGGTTTTAGAAATGGTTAGTTACTTACGATTTTAGTTATTCGTCAAACTTTTGAATTTGTAACGTGCGGTGCGTAGCAGCCCGCGAAATTCAAATTATCAGAATTGTAAGAAGAAGAAAAAATGTTAAAAATAAAAGACAAATAATATAAATTAATATATACAGATAAAATATTAATATAAAATCAATCGAGCAGAACATCTAAAATAAATACATATTTTATTTGTTATATTTATTCTAAAACTCAAGGTAAATACAAAATTAAATTTCTCAAACTTGACAACTCTTTGAGTGCATTTATCTTGCATTCCCTTTTGCTTAAAATCATCTGTGAATCTATTTTTATCTGTTACAAGAAATTGCAGCAAGTCAATTGCAATTCGTTAATTGTCGCACGTTTGGAGGTGAGTGTTTTTTAATGTATAAATTTAACTAAAATGAAGAGAAGAATATTAATATATTTTAGAAAGGTTGATAATAAAATCTGTAACTAAAGTTTCTTAAATAACAAATCGTCGTGTTATATTATATTCAACAGTTACATAACAGATCTAAGCAAAAATGGCTTTACCCGATGGACTTTCCAACAAAATGAAGGTTTTCCAGGTGAGTTGTGGAGCCAAAGAACTTAAAATATATTTGAAAACTCTACATTTTTATAGGCCGTCAACGAGTTGCCCGTTTTTTTGAAAGGCGGACCAATTGATAAGGCTTTGTTTGGCATAACTGCTGGATTGTGCGGCGTTGGCGTCCTAAGCTTTATCCATTTGGTCTACACAATGGGATTCGCCAAGAAGAAGGCTTAAATTAAACAATCAAAATATTGCTTTGATTAAAAACCAATTATACTAAGTACATTTTGTTTTATTTTTATTTCAATTCAAAAGAGCCGCCAAAATAAAATATTAAGGGCAACACTGGTTTCTAAAAATTCAGTGGGGTAACACTGTTTTTAGCCACGCAATTGTGAGTCTGGTATTTTGACCAACTGCGGTCACACTCTTTTTGGGAGGAAAAATAAAAACAAAGAAAATTCATCTTTCCTAACAGAATTTAGAATTTAATATATAGTTTAACTCAAAAATACAGCCAAATGGAGCCCAACGATGAGGTGGTCGAACGCCAGAAGCTGGTAAACGATGTGGAAACGGAGGAGGAAGCCCAAAGCCAAAGTGCACCGAAATCAGCCACCCCCGCCTCGCCCGCCGTTCCAAATGTAAGAAGATTACTCTCCTGTTTTTAATGGTGTAGAAACTATAACTTGATTCCTTTTCAGATCAAAATCAAGGGAATCTCCAGTGGAGAGACGACGCGCAGCAGAAACTCCGCCTCCTGTTCAATAGAACGCACGATATCCGAAAAGGAGAAGGACAAAAGTCAGGGACAGGGTCAGGCGGCCACCAAGGTGACATATGTGAACGAACGACGGCCACGCCCACAGGCGCATGTGGGGAGTGGCGGAGGAGGAGGAGGTGATGAAAGATTCGAGTTCAAGACCCGGCCACGAAAATTGCTCAAAGGTAAGTGCAGCCATAAAGCCCACTTACTCATCGTTCTCCCCCTTTTAATGTTTTTTAGTCGCTGTGGATCGCGGTTTTTGGTGTCAGCTGGAAAGTTTCGGTGTTCGGTTTCATTTACAGTAGAAATTGCAAAAAAAAAAAATATGGGCAATATAACTCAATTTTAACGATAAGTCAACACTTTTTAAGATGGCACTCTTACATATCGCATTTTGTTTTATATATTTGTTTTTCAAAACAATTTTTAAAATACTTTAAAAATGGTCTTTAAAGTTTAAATATTTTTTTTTATTCTTGGATTCTTTTAGGGCCGTTTTCTTGTCAGTTTGTTAAATTTAATGTAGGGTTAAAACTTAAATTTAACAGGCGGACGAGAAAACGGCCCTTAGTTTTGATTAGTACAAATATATTTTTTAACCTTTAAATTTGTACATAATTTTTTTTTGCTTTATATAAAAAAAAAAGTCCAACAATAATATTTTTCTAGCCATTATATCGATAATTGGAAATGTTCTTTAAAGTAAACAATTTTTTTTTAATCTTATATTTTTGGTTTAGTAACTTTTTTTTTTTAATCTTAAATTTTTTAGTCTTTAATAGTAAAAATATATTTTTTACCATGTAAAAGGTTCTTCTCATACATCTTTTTTTTCCTAGTAAACATATATTACTTACAACAAATATTTCTTATATTAATAATATTCCAGTAATCCCTTTCATTATCCTTTTTTTCCAAATTTACAAAATGCCCAATAATGCTCCTAAATTGATAACGAACTCGACTAATGGTCGGCTATCACGGCCCTCATTGACCTTCGCCAGCGATGACGCACTTTTCCGGTGTCCATATGGCCGGAATACATTACATTCCATTATTCACAGCCGACACACCCGCACACACAGACACTTTGATAGGTCGTTATAATTTCAATAATTGAAATTACAAGCCTCTTGCCTCCCCATGCGAAAAAGCGTAAAAGTAACAGGCTGTCGCAGAAGTTTTTCTTTTCCCTGCTGTTTGGTTTCCCAATCGGTTCAGTTTTCTACGGCAGTGATTTAGTTATTAAATTTTATTAATAGTCGTATATAATTGTTAGTATTTATTTAGTGAGTCACAGTGATTAGATATATTATTTTAATATTTTTATGTATCATTTTTATCCATTTCTTTATGTATTATTGTAAGAACACCTTTGTAATTTCTTAATTTCGTTACTTATGATTTTCCCATTTCTTCTATTTTATTATTTGTACTTCCATATCCCCCACGTTTGATTTGTGTTGACCATGTCATGCCGCGACCAGATCGTGATCCATTGGAACCCACACACAGCAGTGCCAACAGCCTGAATGCAATCACTTTGGTGAGCAGCGAGTGGCTGGCACCTGAACCCACAACTAGCACCATTACACCCAAGAACAGCAACAACAACAACAACGATAGCACAAAACCCAACAATAACAATCAACATAATAACAGCAATCAGAATACACCGAAATCGCAGCGTCGTAAAAATCCGACAGCTTCGATGCCAAATGCCAGTGTCCACAGCAATAAATTCGACGATCGTCCAATAAAACATCATTCCTTTGTTTCCGAAGTTCCCGATGTGAAGCACATGGAGCGAGCCCTTCTAGGATTGCTGGATGATTTCCATTCCGGCAAGCTGAAGGCATTTGGTGAGTGAAGTTTAAAAATCCTAAAGAATTCGCGGTTTTAATAGTTTCTTCTATCCTTAAGCAGGTTCTGGCTGCACAATGGATCAGATGACCAAGATCCGCGAGCAGCAGGAGAGCCTGGCCAAACTGCATTTCGAGCTGGCTGCCGCCGAGGAGGATTCCCTGGAGCATGGCAACGAGTTCAACACCAACAAGGCGCAGGAGAATATGCTGCAGCTGATGCAGCGCCTGGAGCAGCTATCCATTTCCATCGAACAGCTACAGACGAGCCACACGGGTCTCTGAGATTTGGCCCAGCCGCAGGCCTGGGATCAACGCCTGCTTTGGCTCTAAGTACACCGGAAAAAAAGAAGGAAAATCTGGGGAGGATTCAGGAGTTTTACACGAGATTAGCGACGGTCACCTGGGATTTTGTGTAAATATTTTAAGTTGTACGCTTAAGTGGGTGGACTCGATGGGCTTCTTATGCTAAATAGTTTAGCAAACTCGCAGTGATTGTGAAAAACTAATTTAGATTGTCTTCGCATAGCCATAGCAATAGCATTAAATTACAAATAGACGGTGCCAGTTGGTTGGTGCTAAAATGATTAATTTCATTACAATTACAATTCGATTTGATTATTGTGTGCTGCAGGTTATCAGGCTTTGATTACGATGATGAAAAAAATCTGTTCTGCTTATTGTTTGTTATAGTTATTTGCAATATATATAAACACCTAATCATATACATGTACGAAACTCGGAACCTATTAAAGTTATCATTTTTATAATACATACACAAATTGTTTCGTGGAAGCAGCGTTTAATGCTATTTTGAAGTGAGCACTGTGCATTCCGGAATTCCCAAAGAGCACATTGATTAGAAAGGCAATGAATAATACTTAATATTTAAATTTTATATGATTTACTTGATGAGCAATTTGAAGAAGTATTTTTAATATTCCAATCACTATTTTTTCGTGGCGCTTGGAGTGTCTGCATTTTCAACCAGCTTGGTGTTCTAAGGAAACGGAATTCCCCACAATCGAAACGTCGTACGTCCCCAATCCGCCGATTATCGGGGGCTCTCAAAGACGCCCACCGCGGATTCCGTTCTGCATGCACAATTTCCATTTCGGGATGGGCAATATCAAATGTGAGAAGTGAACCTTTGGACAAGTGCATTCGTACATAGGAAATTTTATTCCGCAGTTGCTGTTTCTTGCGGCTTAATTTATGCATTCGTATTCAGCCGGTGTCCTCTGTTTCTTGGGCTGTCATTGCGCAGTCGCAGCCGGGTTATCCGACTTTAATGTTGGGGCTCACTGTCGTTGTTCTTCTTGTTTTTTGTTGATTTCTTTTCTTCTCTTGTTGCCTGCGATCGGTAAAAGTAATTTGTTGTTCATTCTTTCTTTTTAATGCCGGTGTAAATCCGGGTTTCAAATAACAAGAACTGTGCAGTGAAAGAAAATTTTGGAATTTATTTTGGAAGAAGAATTTTAAGCGGTTTTTATAAAAAATACGAATAAAGGGCCCTTAGTTTTTGTTAATATTTTATTTCGAGATTTTATGAAAAGAGGGAAGTAAAACAAATTTTCTAAATCCTACAAAACAAATTTTTTTTTAATACATTTTAAGAGAATTACTTTGTATTTATAAGGATAGTAAAATTCAAATGAATTGCTTTAAGTACATTCTAGAAAAAAAAACCTAAAATCAGGAAAAATATGAGAAATATTTGAATGATATTCTATGCCTATATTTCGTTGATTACGATACCCAATACTTTTTTGAGTGCACTCCCACTTGTTGCTTGTGGCCACCGTTCCCTTTTTGTTTTATTATTTTCTTACCGCTGCCCGTCTTTCAACTTGAGGCCGAATCTCTCGGGTTCTTTTGGGCTTCTCTGTTTGGCTAGCGGTTTAGTGCATTCCTTGGGCCTCCGTCTCCGGTCGCCGGTCTCCCACTCTCCGAAAGAAATGGAGAAATGAACGCTTGGACCGTCGCATCCGCCACACTGCATACAAATGCATTTTGGACAAGGGCGTGGCATTTGAGCATTTGAGCCCGGCAGCAACACGCAACATCTATCCCAAATTGCTGCCACAAGTGCCACTGCCATCGCCATCGCCATCGCCTTAGCCACTTCCACTCATCCTCGATGGATCCACGTTCCATCACGTGCGGGGATTTGGATGGGGGATCCCATCCCGACGGAGGGATTGGACATGGAAATGGGGAATATCCGCGGCATTTTTAACCCAGGCAAGGCCCAACCCTACACTTTGAGAAATTATTTAATTAATTAAGTCCTTATCGGGTTTTTAAATTCAAAGGAGTAAAACATAATTTTATTAAAACAATATTTTTCCATAAAATATTTATATTTTTAAAATTTTTTACTTAATTACTTTTAAAAACCCTTGATTTTTGAAAAATTATATTTTTTAATTCAATATTAAATCAACTCACCGACAATTAATTTACATGAAAATAGTAACAAATTTTAAATTTAATATAAATATTTGTAGACATTAAAAGATTTTTATTTAATGCTTATTGTAGCTTATACAAATCCAAAAGTTATACGATTTTTTTTTGTCCACTTTGGGGTATATTTTTCTAAGTATTGAATGCGACAAGTGGCTGGTTACCTGGGGTGGGTGCAACTTGGGATCCGATTCGTGTCGCATCGCATCGAATCGGATTGGGATCGTTGGCAGTTCATCGAATCGAGTGTTATGTAAAGACGGCAACCGAAAGAAGTCATTAAATATGTGAAGCGCATATCAAATTTCGAATGAATTGAACTTACTTGGCTTGGTCACATGAGAATTTGATGAACTGCCAAGCGGACAAAGAGTCGTTGATACCCACACCTGTTACGGGGACGGGGAGGTGAAGGTGGATATGGTAAGGGTGGGCAGGAGCAGCACTTGTTGCCCGGGCAATCCGATCCGATCCGAAATGCCGTCGCCGTCGTCGGGGCACTTCATTAACCTGAACTCTGACTCCGACAATGAACTTTGCACTCACAAAAAATATGTCATAAATTAATCACAACTAAATAATGGTAAAAAAAAATCCCAAAGAAATCAACAAAAGTCTTTATATTTCGAATTTTAATCAAATATGTAAGGCTTTTCCATATTTTCTTTGACAAGATGTATATTCATGATATTGCTTTAAATTATTTATCATTTTTACAAGTATTAAAATTAAATAAAAAATTTAATTGCAGTCCTTACATTAAATACCATTATTTATAGCGTTAAAAATAAATATAAAAAATAGAAAATATAAACCAAATTGCTAAGAAGAATTTCAATACTTATTCAGTTTACTAAATTTCAATTTTCAGTTTATTCAGTTAAATTCTTTATGACATATTACAGTTATTATAAATAAATATCATTGTTAAATAAGATTATTTAAAAAGTTAATAATAAATATTAAATATATAAAATCTTATTTAATCTAACGCCTTAATACTTATTTATTTTAATTATTTTTTTAAAGTGTGCTCTACCTTTTGAGCATTTTGCTTAAAGTCTGTCCCTGCTCCAGTGGCTGTCTGGACTCTTAATCCTTGCCCACCCAAGAACACTGAGGCAGCTGCTCTGGCTGTGCGGAAATTACGTTGCTGATGAGCAGCTCTGGAAAAGCGGAAGACGCACGAAGCTTTTCCTACCTACAGGAAGTGCGACAAAATTCAAACAGACTCTGGTCCCCGCAGCTCTTCCTCTCCCCTCCTCGCCGCTCCTCTCGAGTCCTCCATCCTGCATCCTGCATCCTGCTGGCAAAGCGGAAGCAAAAAGAGAAGAGTGAAAGGAGCAGGGGGAGGGGGAGTGGGCGGGTGGTAGGTGGTGGGTGGTGGGTCAGTGGGTGGACCTGTGACAGCTCTGGGCTGGCATAAATGCGCACACGGCGCAAGGCAAAAAGTTTCCTGGCAGGAGCCACCAGGACTCCCAAAGAGGAAGTGACTAGTGAGTGGGATGGGTGGTATGGGCGTTTGTTATCGTCATTCCCCTTCGGCAAATAAAAGGGGCGGTGGGCGGCTGAGGGCGACGTACTTTATTTCCTGAAAATGTCCTCGAAAATATGAACATTATATCCCGGAAACGGAAGCTGCAGCATTTGCAAGGAAGTGACGCAAGGGGCAGGAAACACCCAGCTATCCAGCTATCCAAAGCCACCCAAATTCCCAACCCAACCTCGCCCACAGAGCACAAAACATTTCGTGGACATGGACAGGAATGTGGATTTGGATGGGTTGATTAAAGCGGGTAAACAGCAGCGACAGGAGACCAGAACGACAGCGAAAACGAGGACGAAGCGCCAGGACACCGTTGAAATGTACACACAAGTGAAAACGGGCCACAGCACAGGACGACAGAGAAGGCGAAAAAGCCGATTACATTTATCATTCATTCAGATTACTTACAATATTAATAAACGAAGCAAATACACATTAAATTCGGGCATTAAATAGTTGTATTTTTAAAATGTATATCATTATCAAATTTATAATTATTTGGGTAATAAAATCTTTTCCTGTTGCTGAACAAAAATTACAGATTGCTTACAATATTAATAAACGAAATAAATACACGTTAAATTCGGGCATTAAATAGTTGTATTTTTTAAATATATTTTTTTATTTAATTTATAATTATTTGTGTAATAAACTCTTTTCCTGTTGTTGAAAAAAAAAAGAAATTTTTCTTCGACCGTGACAGGACTCGAACCTGCAATCTTCGGATCCGAAGTCCGACGCCTTATCCATTAGGCCACACGGTCACTTGAAAATGCTTGCTCAAAATGTACTCTTAGAAAAGATTATTATTACCATTATTAACAAATACAATTACATTTATTTAAGCTAAGTAAATTCCATCGTATTAATTAAACAAAAAATTAAATCAATAAAAATAAAAAAATTTAAATAAAAATTGTGTTAAAAAATAAAAACTTAAACCACAATTAAAATAAAATTAATTTTTGTACAACTGTTTAATGTTTTTGTTTAGAAGAAATCTATTAATACAAAATATTGTTAAATATTCAAATAATAATCAAAATATTTAAAATTACATTGCTCTAAAGAATTTATAAATTTTTTTCGTATTCAAAAAGTTTTCCGATTTTTTTCCCGTGTTGGTCACAGATGTGACCCAGAAGAGTGCGGAGGCGAATTGGACATCTGACTACGTTGTCGCATCCTGCAGGAAGCGTGACGTTGCCGCCGGCATCTGCGGCTCCCTCTTCGTCCATTTCCCATTTTGCCCCCCGGAAAATGGCAAACGGAATGCGAGAGGCAGAAGCCTTTACGTCAAGGAAATGACGGAAGCAGCCCCAGCAGCAGCTGAATCCTCCATCGTCTCAGCTGCTCCGGACTGCATCTCCGGAAAGTGGACTGTGGACACAGGACACACCGAGGAGCCCACAGGGGAGCATCCTTAGAGGACTCGCACAACTCTGCTTTGGCAGGAAATCATCGTCCCATGGGACGTAAATTAAATTCCATGCAAAGTTAATTTTTCTCACCCACCCAGAGAGAGGGAATAGAGAGCATTGAATCAGGAGAAGCTTAGTCCGGATTCCGGAATCTGGGCTGGCTGGTGAAGTAGTTCCATTTCCGCAAAATGGGAGGATGAGGATGAGGGATTTACGGTGGTGGTACAGATATGGGAAAAGTTTATAAATCAACGTAAACTTTGTCATCGCAGTTCATGTGGTGCTTAAATATCAAATTGAATTGAGATGTAGGTAAAGATGGATAGGTTAAAGTTAAAGG